TTTTTTTGCACACAGTGCCCCCCTGGGCCCTGATTGCCAGCGCTGTGGTAGCCGGCCTGCTCGTCCTCACCTGCTGCTTCTGCATCTGCAAGAAGTGCTGCTGCAAGAAGAAGAAGAACAAGAAGGAGAAGGGCAAGGGGATGAAGAACGCCATGAACATGAAGGACATGAAATCGGGGAACCAGGTAACGCCCCCGGGAACAGGCCGACAGGCCTGTGCTCGTACAGCCGGGCCGGCGCAATGCAGCTCCACAGACACAAGGTCAGGGCCCCAGCTCAGCGGTCACCGAGAGCAGGGTGTGAACCCCAGGCCCCTCTGCGCCTGTAAAGCACGAGCCAGCGCCAAAGTAGCGAGGGCATCAACCCAGGGCAGGAGCACATCAGGACCACCAGGAGACACAGCTCCCTGGCCCCCAGGCTGTGGGTGACACGCCCGGAAGGCACGTGGGAGAGGCTTATCCAGCATGAGGAGTGAGTGGCAGACACTGGGTGGGGGGCGCTGGTTTTGCCAAGGAGGCATAGGGCTCCCCGCTGCATGGCCGGGGCTGGCTTTTCTAACTAGAAATGGGCCTGAGATGCAGAATTTGGATCTAGGGGTTTTAACCTCCCTTGTGAAAAGCAGGGTTTCAGAGGGAGGGCGCCCTGTGCCACACAACTAGATCCCACCTGCAACCCTACGAATACGCTAGCTGCGAAACATGCCAGCAGGTGGCAGTGCCTGCCCGGATCTGCCGTGGCACAGCTGTTTACAGAGATGTCTCGTAACACAACTTTAAATCTAGACCCATCCCTCCTAACATCACTGGTTTCCCCAAACCTGGAGGGCACACAGGAGCTGGCTAAGGAAAAACTGGAGCTTCCAAGGGCTCTCTGCTCCTCACAGAAGGAAGCTTGAGCAGCAGAGTTCACAGCAGAGTTGTCAAGGAATCAAAATGCTTCTGTTCTTCATCACTTGACACAACAGTTCGATCTAGTCCCCCACAGGGCCGCTGTTTGCATCTAAGCTTGGCGGGTCTGACTAGTATAAAGCAGCAAATTCCTTCCTCCAAACCGCCATTCATAAATTTCAGGCCATTGAAATATTTCGTTCTCCCGGTTTCCTCCCATTTCCTCGTTGCTTTTAGTCATTTCTCACGTTTTAGGGATCAGACTCTTCGGGGAGATGTTGAGATGAGCAGCGTCCTTAAAAGTCAAAGTTCAGGATCAGTGATCACCCAACAGCCTGATCAAACTCTGCAAGGCACTTGAGTATACACAGCGGGGCAGGGCATAGCACAAAACCGGCGTGTCTCAGGGGATCTGGGCGGAAAAGGCAGCGAGGGAAGCATTTCTTGGGGCATTTTAGTGCTTCAGATACCAATCATAGGTGCTGAGCAGAAGAGCACCGTGAGAAGTGTGTGGGGGCTGAAAAGTTCATAGATTGCAATGTAGTCCAGGTTTGCAACACATGAGGGCCAGGTTTGGTTCTAGGCACGGGCAAAAGCTCAAAGAGGGTCTTAATTGTTCTCCACCTCGCTTCCTCAGTCCTTCCTGGAGAACATCTGTGGCTAAATTAAGAGGAACACCAGAGACTCACCTGGCACCCCATAAAGGCGGCCACCAGAAAGCGTTAGTAGGACACCTGCTGGCCAGAGCTGTAGCAAACCCACTCCCTGGCCCCTGCTGCCTTTTCTGCACTGTCACTCATGAAAAGGGGCCCCGTGAGTGTTCACCAGAACCCAGGAGTATCTGCAGCGGCGCAATCTCAGGTGCAAAATCAATTGGTGTAGACACAGTTTCCTAAGTGTCACGCTTGTAAGCCCACGCCAGCGTGCTCGGCCCAGGTCATGTGCCTGTAAGAGGGTGAGGGCTCGTGTGTCTCGGGCACGTTTGGGTGATGTTAATTATCCGTGCGGTGGTTGTCTCTCTAACCAACGGCCTTTTCCTCCTCCTCTATATTCTCCTTGGCCTTCCCCTGTGGGTTTGGGCTCCCTGTCGTCTGTCTAACCGGGATGGCAACTCATGGTACGTGGGCAAGTGAATGTTGCTTCTTAATCAGCCATGCAAAGGAGGGGGTGGACTTGTCCAATGGACCACTTAGCTCCAAAGTTTATGTGCGGGCCAAGTGCATGTTCTGCCGGAGCTGGGGCACTGATACATCCTGGGAAACTCTACTTTCTGCAAAACAGGGGTTGCAAGTTGTGTCTAGACCTGGGAGGCGAGAGAACTCCCCAGCTGAGCTGTGCCTGTGGTTCCCGTCTGGCAGATCATGGCCACATGGTTCCTAGCGGCCTCTTGCCCTGATGTATTAAGGTGTGGCAGGGCCAGAGCCTGGCGTTCAGGTTCCTGCTCCGGCGCAGATCTTGGGCGAGTCACTGAGCCGGTGTACGGCCCGTGGTCCTAAAGACCCCAGTTCTTCCCCCCAAGAGCCAGAGCCCCTTTCCCCTTCCTGGTCCATCTGCAGGGAGGCCATGACCCTCCTCTGAGTACCGTCCCGGAGCTGTTCCGCCCAAAGAGAACAGAGCCAACCCCTGCAGGCCCTCCTGCCCTCCGCTCTGCGGTCCTGCCCTAGCAGGAGAGTGGGAGACTGGTCTGCCCCTCCCTGGAGACCGTGGGGAAGCGTCCGGCTCAGGCGCAGCTCTGCTAACAAAAAATCTGTGGCCAAGAGCGCCTGCGAGCGTGCCCGTCCCCAGGAGGAGCTCCCCGGGGGCCTGGTGTGTGTCTGGCCAGGACCACCCAGCTTCGCCTGTCCCTGCTTTCCAGGCAGTGCTGCCAGCTGCAGCAGATCTGTTACTTGCTAGGGCTGCATGGCCACCCGGGCCCTTTGGCTGCCGGAGCTCGCGTGCGCTAAGGCTCCGGTTCCACCTTAGAGCAGGGAGTTGCTGGCCCTCCAGTCCAGCCCCCTCTGGGTCAGCACCACCTGGGCAGGACTGTTGGGCTGCCAGCACTGGGCTGGGATGGGCGGCTGGGTGCAGGCGCTCGGAG